GTAGTGGACTGTCAAGCATCAAGATGGTGAGGATGGCATCGAGAATTTTGACGCGATATGCCTTAGTGAAATTTTTCAGGCTGGAACTAATTTGAACAATTCCTTAAAACACTCTCCACGATAACACACGATATGATAGAAAAAGAAAAGGGATGAAACATCTCTACGCAGTGCCAGTGAATCAAGCCCATCAGAAAGCACTCGGTCATCGACGATTCGAATCGCTCTGCGTTGGATGCGTTCAAGTGGAAGGAGCCGCCACTGGGGTACCCCGGCCCAGACATGAGAACAGTATTCAATGTGAGGCCAAACTTTGTAAAGTTGCAAGCGATGTGTCGGAATGAAGTACTGTTTCGCTCTGCTGAGCGCACGCCAAGCTTTCCAGACCAGCGTCAAATAGTAGCTTAATGCTGCTGTGTTTCGTATGGTAAGTGTAGAGAACCGGAGACCCTTTTTACTGTAAACGAGGCATTCCATCTTAGTCCATATCCATATAAAGCTGAGGTGGGTCGCTGTTATATTATAATACTTCCATTGCCTAAATGAATGTAAAAAAATACTTTTCTTAAAAGCGTCATGCGGGTTTCAAAAAACAATAAAATAAATAATTACTAATTTAATAAAATTAATATTAATTTACCCTAGTAAGAATTTTGTAATATTATTTTAATGAACCGGGCTCTACTAATTAAAAATATTTATTGATATAGCTCGGGAAGCAAAACTGTAAGTATTTTTTGACGTTTATGAGAACTAAATGCCTCATTTTCAATTAAATTAATAACTTCTTTTCCACGCTTTTATATAAGGCCTTGATTGAAAAACATATTAATAAATTAATATTTTAATAGAGCTATGTCCCATTTATATTATAATGAAAGCCAAAATTGTAAAATTTTACAGAAAAACATAATATTTTAACGTCTTAGAATGGTGAAAGTTTTTCTTTAATTTCAAGCAGATCAATTTATCTACTGAACCATCGAAGACAATTACTTATCAGAATAAATAATAGTTAATTTATCTAAAGTTTACAAAATAAACGTTAATTTTGCCTTATTGGTGGATGAAGCTGTTATTAATTTAACTATTTACATATAATAGGGCGAGATTTTGAAAGCAATTTATCATATAAAAGAATTACGTATCTATCTATTTATATACATAAGTTGGTTTGTGGATTAGTAACGGAAGCTTTAACATAACAATCTTTATTTTAAACATCTATTAAAAACTAAGAGTTCTATTTTTCCTAGATTTTGTTAGATGGCGCAATTTAAAAAATGTTTAAGATAGAATCTACATTATTTTTTAGATTTATATTTAAATATTCGTTTTAAAGAATTTCTGCGTTATATTCCTTTTTAACTGATGGGCTTATCAGCAATTTTATTAAAATAAACATCTAAGAAATAGATAAACATAACACTCCTTTTTTGTACACTCAACAACGTTTTGCGCCAAACGCGATCAAATAGACAGACAGACAAACATTCTAGAAAATATTATTTTTTCTTTAACATTTTTATTTATTTCCTGAAATTTGTTTACTTCATAAATTTTTAGATTACAGTTTCGAATTTTAAACAGATTTATTATTATATGTATAGATTTGTTTAAATTATAAACGTAAATAAAATAAATATAGCGTAACATGATTGGTGAATTCAAACGTAAATAATAAGAAACTCCTAAAAATATTTTCGTATTTTTTTCTCGTTCATTGCCCTACAAAATATATTCACAATTATTTTAAAGTGAATTGCGAGATTGATTTCCACAAAGTGATCTACATTAAAAGCCCTCCTGAATTAATCCTCTTATGCACTGTCGGATAACGTTTGACTGCTGAATATTATATTTGAGAGATATTTCCATAGATATTATCGTATTATATTATATTTCAGACGATTTCAAAAAAGGATGAAGTTATCAATTCGACTGTAATATCTTTTAATATATGTAAGCCGATATATTATACAGTACAAAACCGATTTTTTTAATCATATAGTGGAATGTGTATTTGTGGTAGTCCCGCATAAATTTGAAGAAAAAATCACTACTAAGTGTGGGATTATTTATAGGATGGAAATTGGAATTTTACTATTAATACAGATATTTGAGCTTGTTATATTCCATGAACCATTAAAAAAAGAAAAAATTCACTTTTATTTAAAACGAAAGCCGATAAAAAAAATGAATATAGTAATTTCACATACTGAGGTCGGGGCTTTAATTCTTCTATACAAGCTATGTACTAGCGATGACATGAGCATGTGAAATTATTTAAATCTTTTAGTTAATGTAAGTCAGCTTTTACATTTTATTAAAAGTTAACCTCTCAGTCCCAGCTAAAATGTTCGATACCGCTCGCGCACTTTGCGTGACGCGGCGTCACTATAAATTACCTAACTTGGAATTTGTCGTACATTTATTTTCAATAAAATTAATTATAAGCTTCAAAGTAATACTTTTTTCTGTTTATTTATTATGTTACATTACTTATTTTAGTGCTTTTACTTTATTACAAATATATTTTAATTGTATTTTCATAGTAAAATGTACATACCCAGCGCACGACGACAGCGTTAATATCACAATTATTTCTATATATTACTCAAAATTATTTACGTAAAAGGATAAATTATATTCAAATAAATACTTTTATAAAAAAATTATAATAAAATACTACTAAACACTTGATGTTTATTTTCAGATGGGAATAGAAAAATCCAAAAATCAACTCGATAATGCGCCACACCTAACAGGCGTAAGAAATGAACGTAGATTATAAATAAATACAGTAGACTAATTGAGTTAATAATACCAAACTTCTTCATAGACAAGTAGTCAATATAAATATTTATGGTTTAAATTACTGGTTGTGGTCGGATCCGACCGCTTGGAATTTTACGGAATATCGCCTTGGTCGGATCCGACCGTGTACATATTGAAGGGTTGATCCAAACTAATCATCGATCAACGATCTCAGAATAATTTGAAAGATGAGGGCGAACTTAATAAATCATAAACGGTTTTTTATCTAATTAACACGTTTACTGCGGCAAGTAAAATCATAATACTTCATCTAGTGCGGCGGCGGGCCAAAATGCGCCCCCAATGATGTTTCCGCCAGTGCGTGAGTGGTCGATCTAGACCCACCAGCACTAGGATAAATTAAATTGCTATAACTTTGTGGAAACATAATGTATACATTTTTTTTTATATTGTTAGAATGAGCTTGAACCTAACGTTCATACGTTCGCCCCGGGATCTGCCAAACAAGAAATGAGAAATAAAGCAGGAAAAGCGGCAGGCCGATATCGACCTGAACCGCACTAGAAAGTATTTTTAGTAGTGACGGGACAGAGAAAAATAAGGGGATATCGAAAATAAAACAGAATTATCGTAAAAGAACTGTAAAATGTTTTTATTTACTTATGCCTATCTTGGAAACATGTTACGCAAAGGTTTTGGTTGCATTTCCTGCAATATTTCTTTATTTTCTTTACTTTTTTTTTTGCTTCGGTACTATTAAAGATTTTCCGCAGTCTGTCGTAGCACCCTGCACAATTTCTTCGTTTAGCGCTCATTTCAAGAACATGGTCATTGTCCTTAGGTTTTACTTGATTTTCTGAAATGAATTTTTTTGCTTAATTCCGTGTGATTTATTAAACATTGAGTTTTACCACAGAACTCGCGAAATTGAACAACTTTCCCCAGAGAACATAGGTCGAAATATGAAAAAAAAAATTGGCCTTCCCTTACAAAATTGACAACCAGCTGATTGATTTACTACTACGGGAGGTCCAACATTTTTTTTCATACTTCGACCTATATTCTTTGGGGAAAGTTGTTCAGTTTCATGAGCACATTCACCTCCTTCAGGGTTGATACCCCCCTTCCGTTACACGGTGTATAAGGTCATTTTAAATTAAGTGAAAATATTTTTTGCGAATCTCAGAACAAAAATTGTTCTGTAACATGGGCTGAGTTACCCCACGGGAGGTTTTGCGCATTTGGAATTACATGTTGTATAGGTGTAGGGTTGTCCTTCAAGGAGATAACTCAGTATCGCTTATACAACAACTTTCCTTATGGGACCCATGTTGAAATCTTAAAAAAAATATTCTCACTTTTCATACAAAAAAAATCAGATAGTTTATTCCTCAAATACAATTTTTAATCAGTTGATCGGATCGGTTAGTATGGGAAGCCAAAAATTTTTTTTCGAGTTTACGACATGATAGGGAAATTTGTTGTATAAACGATACTGAGTTACCTCCTTGAAGGACAGCGGTGATAACCCTAACAGCCTGTATATATAGGTATAAAATTATGTATATGGTGTATAATATAGTGGTAACAGGACCTAATGTCTATTTTGTGCAATCAAGTAGACCACTTAAAGCGTTATTTTTATGATAAATGCAGCTGAGTGCCCCGAAATAAGAACTCGCATTATGTGTTATTGAGTAAGTAAACAGTGCCATAACATACCATAATAGAACAGTAGTGCAAACAACGCCAAACATTGCTCGCAGAAAATAGCAGAGTGAGCACAAAGCTCATGCACGAAGACCATGCGCAGCCACCGTAACACTGGTAATATGTTCAAAATAATGACAATAGTTACCTGTTGCAGATGTAGAACGTCTGACGATGTTGAAACACGGAAATGTAGGAATCGCCTTCAACAATAATCTACATATGCCTACAGTGATGTTACACGTCATTATACTTACTATCAGCGCATATACTTTTTCCAGTTAATGATTGCATTAATACCTCTGTAAATTCTTTTTTTGAAACCTTCTTATCACATTTCACGTTGTATGTGATCCACGTGTTTACTAACGCCATGCCTAACAAATATTCCATACCCACTTTTCTGAACCATTTGAGCCCTCTTTTTAATGTAGAATAGTATGAAGACATTTGGTCGCTGAAGTCAACTCCTTTTTTGTTGTTATTATACGTTAAGACACATGTAGGCTTTTTTATATCTTCATTCGTCTTCCTATTTTTTTGCCAGTGTTGACAAGCACATCTTTGTCCTCTTTGAGAGTAGATATCATTAGAAGTTGCCTTTTGTCAACCCATTTAATAACTTTAACGCCATTTTTATTCATAGCTCCTTTGATTTCACCCTTCTTCAACTTTAGTAACACTATCTCCTTAGGTAGCCCCCTTCGCTTCGAATTTAGGGTACCGCAATAACGGGTTTTTTGAGATAAGAGTTCTTCCGCCAATTCAATTGAAGAGTAGAAATTGTCTGCAATTACTACACGACATTTGTTCTCCAGCCCTTGAATGAGTTTCAGTACGGTGACTTTACCATAATTTTGTTCACGGCCATTTTCTCCCTTTCCAGAATAAATTATTGAATTATATATATACCCTTCTGGAGTGCATAACTTGTAAATTTTAACACCATACTTGTGTGATTTGTTTTTAATGTATTGTTTGAATTTCAGCCTGCCACGCCATGGTATCATTGATTCATCTATAACAATGAATTTACCTGGCGTTAATACTTCTTGGAATCTGCTGTTGAGCATATTAGCCAAATCATGAATTTTCTTCAACTTATTTGTATTGTGGATGGCTGACGAATCATCACAAAAATGCCAGAATTTCAGTAATAGCAGAAATCTATCCCGAGTCATTACAGATACAATATATTCGTTTCGATATATTGATTTTTTTGACCAATAGTCATTTATATGAGACACTTTGTTCAGACCCATTGCGAGTAGTACCCCTAGAAACTTCCGCATTTCTATATTATTCGTAGCTTTCCATGATAATAACCCAGATTTTGTTTTTATTTCGTTATTATTTTGCTTTTCTGCGATGTGTTTTAACGCATATTTATTACTTTCTGTAACCATTTTATCTATTATTTCATCAGTTACAAATAAGGAAAAAATACCTGCAGGAGATATATCTTCTATAGGAATATTAAAGGTGCTTTCATTTAAAGTACACGCATCCAACTCAGGTGTCAAATCTGTGACAGCATCCCATTCATTGACACTATTATCCTGTGCATCTTCCTCTTCCTCTGAAACATCATTATCTATATCCGATACAACTTCACTTGCAGAATATTCATCACTCTCATCATCGCCTGTGTCACCACTTTCCTGCTCTTCATCTTCCTCCTCAGTATTTTCCGTTTCTTCCTCTCTCTCTGCATCTTCATCTTCCTCTTCAGCATTTCCTGTTTCTTCCTCTCTCTCTTCTACATCTTCAACATCAACATTTTCTGTTTCTTTCTCTCTCTCTGCTTCGTCATTAAGTGTTTCTTTCTGTCTTTCATTTTCTTCAAACTGTTTATTACGTTCTTCGTCATAAAAAACATAATTTTCATTACTTTCAGTTAACCCTTGCGACATACTGTCTTCAAAAGAATAAGTGAATGTAAGTTTTGTCTTTGGATCTTTCCTTTCTATTTCATTTTTCTTTTTTATCTTTTTTATTATCGTTTCTTAGATTTATCAAGTCATGATATTCGCTTTCATCTATTTTGATGCCGTGCATAAGCTTAGAAGCTGATATATTGTTTAGCGAAGGACTGCATCCTCTTGAGCTATACATACTAAATCGTTCCAATGACGATGAACTAGGCGAAGACAATCCTTTTGATGTCTGTGGTGTAGGTTTATTTTTACATTCTGTAATGCAAAAAAAGGTAAGTGGAATGTAAAAAGAAAAATACAAATTTTGGAAAATAGAGTAATTCGCCCTGCAGTTATTGACAGTGATAGTGACAGCAGTGAAGAAATATTTTCCACTAAGAAAACTAAAAAAGGATTTGGAAACAAATGTGCACGGAAAACAAAGCACAAGCGGTAAGTTTTATTTACTACCTACACATATCAACATATCAGCCTTAGACGCATAATGACGTGGGGATTTTTTATGTAATACCATCCTTTATGAAAAAGATTATTCTTAACACTTTCATTGCATTTTAATGATTTATTTTCAACAGTTGATGTCGAGAAAATTTAGGTTTTTTGAACATCTTTTCAATTGAACCATAATCCGTCCGCTTTTACCCCAACACTCCTTTTTCTCGCTAAATAAGACACAATAAGAGTCACAGTAAACTTTTTTTGTCAACAGCGGACGTTTTCAGTAGCCCCAGTGGAAGAAAATTTCATATTCTTAAACCAGTCTCGTTTTCACATGTAACTAAAACAGGTATGTCTTAATTTAAATAATTTATTTGCTTTTAGTGTTATAGTTTCTGCTGAGCATCTATTGACAGATATCTCTATCTCTATCTCTCAAAATTTCATATTTTATTTAATTTTTTACTTCTAATATAATATAATTATTTATTATATTATACTTCTAATATAATATAATATAATAATCTACACTAATATTATAAATGTGAAAGTTTAGATGTATGGATGTTTGCTACTCTTTCACGCAAAAACTACTGAACGGATTTAGATGAAACTTTACAGTAATATAAGTAAAAAATTAAATAAAATATGAAATTTTGAGAGATAGAGATAGAGATATCTGTCAATAGATGCTCAGCAGAAACTATAACACTAAAAGCAAATAAATTATTTAAATTAAGACATACCTGTTTTAGTTACATGTGAAAACGAGACTTGTTTAAGAATATGAAATTTTCTTCCACTGGGGCTACTGAAAACGTCCGCTGTTGACAAAAAAAGTTTACTGTGACTCTTATTGTGTCTTATTTAGCGAGAAAAAGGAGTGTTGGGGTAAAAGCGGACGGATTATGGTTCAATTGAAAAGATGTTCAAAAAACCTAAATTTTCTCGACATCAACTGTTGAAAATAAATCATTAAAATGCAATGAAAGTGTTAAGAATAATCTTTTTCATAAAGGATGGTATTACATAAAAAATCCCCACGTCATTATGCGTCTAAGGCTGATATGTTGATATGTGTAGGTAGTAAATAAAACTTACCGCTTGTGCTTTGTTTTCCGTGCACATTTGTTTCCAAATCCTTTTTTAGTTTTCTTAGTGGAAAATATTTCTTCACTGCTGTCACTATCACTGTCAATAACTGCAGGGCGAATTACTCTATTTTCCAAAATTTGTATTTTTCTTTTATTGCTTGCCATTGTTGATAATATCGGACGCTACGACAGAGCTGTTAGATAGCACAACACTAACTGGCGGGGCGCGCGCTCTGTGCGGTATCGGGTCGCCAGCTGCCTGGTGGGAGGGCGGGCCGAAATAGGCCCACTGCCGCACTCGCGGATGTTTTTTCACCGTCAGTGCGTGGTAGGTCAATAAAAGCCTGCCGTTATGTTTTGATGGGGAACAACTACGGCATTTACCGCAAGATGAAATATATATTTGTCTCTGTCGAATTTTTACAAACACCTGAGATAATCGTTTCGCACAAGCGAGAGGGACATAGTTTTCTTCGTCCGCACCAGTTCAAGTACCGCGGCAGGCCGATATCGGCCTGTTACGCAGTAAACGTGTTAAACTTCATTTATTAAAAATGAAATCATCTTCTACCCAATAACTTCAACGATGTTTCTCGATCTTTAATATCTTTACATTTATTTTAATTCAACATCTTTAATTCATGTTGCGGCACGTCACGCTAATAATACTGGATGATTTTTTTTACCGTCTGGAAAAAAAATAGAGTGTAACAGGTGAACTTACTGGAAGCTTTTGGCACTTTCCACCCGCGCCTTCATTCCAGTCAGCTGTGAATAACAAAGGTGTGACGTCGTATAAATTGTTTATGTTTCCGCGTGTGTATCGGTCGCCCGCTGATATCTGTCGTCAACATGAACCAATACTCTTATGTCGAATACCTAGCTAACTAGCAATGGTGAGATGTCTTGTCTGGTGAAAAATAAAACGGTGCGATAATTCGATATATTCCCGTATTGGAATTTATAACGTGCATTCGTCGAGGCCGACCTGTGAACTGGCCGGCGAGATCACCAGACCTAAAACCTCTAGACTTTTATTTGTACGCCCAACTGAAACGATTAACTTTCACTAATACTTTGCGCTTTTGTGTACACAAAAGCGCAAAGTATTAGTGAAAGTTTTACAAACAATTTACAAAGACGTGCTAGTAGTTTATGTTTTGAAACAATCAGTGGATAGTGGAGTATGATAAGAAATTTTATACTTAAGCATTGCTAAGTTACAAGAAACCGATATCAAAATCTTAAGAGTCATTTATATCACGTGATTGGAGATAAATTTTTTCTTTTGAAGAATTAAGCACCGTAATCGCACAGATCGAGTGCGTTATGAGTAGCCACCCTTTATGCCGTATTCTTTCCATTGACCCCTCAGAGCCACCACATTTAACTCCGGCACATTTTTTGAATCTTAAACCCTTGAAGTGAAGGACACAGGGAAAAAAGGAGCTCATTGACAATTGTAACGTATTTGTTGGTTTCCGAATTTCCCCCAAAATAACTTGCTGCGGGGACGTTAAGCGAGTCAAAACATGTGTTAACTCCGAATTGTAATATTTAGAAGTTAAAAACCCGTGTAACTCTGATAATTTTCCTTCATAATTCGTACCATTATCTTAGTACACTCTATCTATGGACCCGCGACGAGAAAGAAATCTTTTAAATGCACCCATAAAGCTAGTCGTGCTTAGGTCACCGGCGAACTCTATGTAAACAGCGCGGGTAGTCAAATATAAGAAAATACAAACATACAACTTTGTAGATATCAAACCACGTTTTCGTGGACGTGGTATAAGATTCAAGCGTAACCTTAAACAGGCCAGCAAAATCTGCACCAGTGTGCATAAAGGGCTTGCGGATTATGTTACACGAAAGAACCTATGATCCGCCACTTCTGGGAATGACGATACGAATTCGAAAATAAGAGATACATTTATGCACTCGATTGCGAATTAAGTTGCAAGCGGAAAAAATCCACTGGTTCTGACGCAAAATAGACATTAACAATTCAGAGCTAGCGTGATAATTCACACCCTATTTTCTTATCCTAACCCCTCTCTGCTTGACATTATGATTGTTTCTTTTCCTGATAGAGTCATGTCTCATGGGCAAATAACTTCTTCTTTTCATATCATGATTTAATCTACCTCTATTATTGTCTCTGTCCACCTAAACAGAAATACCAATCCCTGTTCCTTCATAATTATAAGGAAATAAATCTAGAGTCATTGTGGCGTGATATAAGTAATGTTGATTGGACACCTATTGTTGACAATACTAATATTAATGATAAGGTTTCTAACTTTAATGTCATAATTTTGAAGGTATACAATAATTATGAACCGCTCAAACGCGTAAAGATAAAGCGTAAACCTGCACCATGGATTACACAACATGATGTGGTTTAAACGTCTCCTATCTGAAAATAACTTAAATCGTTTTAAATTTTTATGCAACCGCTGCAGTCGTTTGTGTCGGTATGCTTAAAGGCGTTATTTTTCAACTCTCTCCATAATAAAAATTCTACTGAAATGTGGAAGTTCCTTCATTCTGCTGGTGTGGGCAGGTCTCTGATCCTAGAATACAATGACATTAAAGTAAATGGTCTAAACAAACACTTTGCTACTCCTCCTTTGACTTTAGATTCTTACATCAAATCAAACACACTACTTGCACTGTCGGCATACCGAAACCGCACATTTGCCCTTTTCATCTTTCTCTTGTGACGGAGGAACATGTCAAAAAATCCATCCTAGCCATCTCTTCAAATGCTGTTGGTAATGACGGTCTATGCTCGAAGATAGTTTTGTCGGTTCTACCCTTATTTCTTCCAATTCACACTCACATATTTAATTTTTTCATAACATCCTCATCTTTTCCTTCGGTTTGGAAACAAGCATATATACTTCTTTTTCCCAAGGTTTCTAATCCTTCTTCTTTGTCCCATTTTCGTCCCATATCTATTTTATCCTTTCTCTCTAAATTTCTGTAGCATACTATCCATAATTAATGTCTCTCTTCTTATCGTCTAACTCCTTGCTTTCCACATATCAGTTGGGCTTTCGTTGTGGTCACAGCTCTGTTACTGCTTTACTTAAAGTAACCGATGATATCCGTTGGGCCATGGACAACAAATCTCTCACACTTTCAGTTTTGCTTGACTTTAGCAGTGCTTTTCAGTAGACTTTGAAATTCTTCTCCGAATCCTGGAATCTATAAACATTTCCCCATCTGCCATTGCGTGGTTTGATTCGTATCTTCGTAGTCGCTCACACTGAGTCCGACTTAATGACGCTCTCCCCGATTGGTCTGGTATCAATACAGGTGAACCTCAGAGTGGCATTCTTTTTCTTCTTTTATTTTCTATATTTATTAACACTAATGCGATGTCATTACGTCTAATTACTATCTCTACGCGGATGATTTACAGCTATATCGTCATTT